CCCCAAAACCCCAAAACCCCATAATACTGATATGGTATGAATTAACACAGTTGAATTAAAAATTATTATTGAGTAGTTATAAAGAAAAATATAAAGATTATTAAGATATGGGAGCTAAAAAAAAGAAGGGTGGTGGAGGAAAGAAAGAGGGAGACGAGGAAGATCTCTCTGTCGAAAACTTTATGAAGGTCTACCGTAAGAAGTGTTCTGATCTCTCTTGCGAGGTCAGTAAGATTATTAAGGAGAAGTATGAGGAGTTCTAAGAGGAGGGTGAACCAATTACTAAGGTAAATAATATGAAATCGTTACAATTCAATAGTTTCACATTTGGGAAGAAATGGGATGGCAAGGTGTTAGAGCTTTCACTGATGCTCTTAAGCAAGTCAAGTAAGTTGACATCCTTAATATGATTTCCTAATAAATTTATATAGTTACCCACATTGCAGAAGTATCAGACTTTGGAAGACATTTTGTGAGGATGAGGGTGTTCGTGCAGTAGTCCAATTTTTACAATAATGCAAATCAGTTACTGTACTTGAATTGCTAGACAATAAGATCACAAGCTTAGGGTGTGAATTCATTGGAAAGCTAATGCATCCAAAGACAAATGCGAATATTTAAGTCTTGAAACTAGATCATAACGATATCGGTGGAACAGGTGTTTAGGCATTATGTGAAGGACTTTCAATTAACAAGTCAATCGTGACACTATCCTTAACTTATTGTGATATTGATCAGTCAGGGGCGAGATCTCTGTTTGAACTTCTCATCTACTCTCAGAGTAAGATCAATAGAATATCTAAAGGCATTTAATTATAGGTAATCTTGAGGAGCTTAATCTGAGTGGTAATCACTTGAGAAATGAGGGAATCATTACTATCTTTAGAGGCCTATCCATCAATAAAAAGCTGAAGAAGATTTATTTGGCTGATAATCAGTTCAATGAGCATGATTCAGTTCTTAATGCTATTGAACAGTGCTGGATGAAGAATAAGAATCTTGGTAGATATGACTTAAGATATAACACTTTAACAGACTATGGTACGCATTTATAGTTTTAAATTTAATAGGCGTCGGCAAAATGACTTAATACCTAGAGCAGGCTTCGCATGTATTTGAAGTAGAAATACCAGAGAGAGTATCTAAGGAGACTCTTGAAAGCTTCAGAGAGCGACTCACAGCTAATAAACCCAAGAAGGGTAAGAAAGGAAAGAAAGGCAAAAAGAAGAAGAAGTGATAGCCTTGCATGCAGCAATACAAATTATTTAAGACCCTGTGTTTGTTGCTTACATTATAGATAATTTAACTTTATCAGTATTAATCTAATTTTACTTCTAGAGTCAGACATTTATTCAATGGGGTTTTGGGGTTTTGGGGGGCTCGGAAGAGCGTCGTGT